AGTGACCATTTTTGAAAGTGACTGAACGTTGAGTGACCATTAATGCAATTTTCGAACTTCAATGACCAATTTGAAATTTTGGTGTAATTTCAGTGACCATTTGTGAAATTAACCCTTTTCTAGATAGAACGAGAGGTTAAAATTGAGTTTGGAAGTAATAATTTGACATGAAATTAATGGCAAAAAGGACATGGCATCTGCCTCGTAAACTTGCATTGCAGGCGTCCTACAAAGGGAAGGCAAATTTCATTCTCAATTTCTCTCTCTCCATTTCATTGCGCTTTGTGCGGATGGAAACCGGAACCAGTACTGCTTCTGCTTCAGCTCCTGCAACTGAAAATTACACTCATAAACCCGATCATTTGCACCACCGTGACATTCTCCCTTCCTCCTCTATTCTTATTATAGTCGTACCGATCATTATCACGTTCTTAATTCTCGCAATACTGTTGTTAATTGTAATGCTCCGGCGCCTGCAATCTACCAAGTATAATCGCAACGACGAAAGTGGTAAAGGTGTAATCAACGACAGCAATTGCATGTTTCTTTCTCATAACACCATAAACATCAATTCCAGTCCAGGTAATTAATTAATTAATGGCTACCCCCAATTCCAAATTCTTTTGCATTTTCACTTCAATTTATTTATTGGATAATTTGTTTCTGCAGCAGAAGTGATGAGCGGCGGGTGTCTGTACGGAACCGGTTCGAATCGCCCGCAGCTACCTAAATTGAGAGATGCACAAGTATTTACGTTCAAGGATCTGGAAATGGCTACTGATAAATTTAGTGAAGCAAAATTGATAGGGAATGGAGCATATGGAGTGGTTTACAGAGGGATCCTTAGTGATGGGACTGTGACAGCAATTAAGATGCTGCACCGTGAAGGCAGACAAGGAGAACGCGCTTTTCGGTTAGAGGTTTGTCATTCCATTTATTACGTTTTCTTGAAATTTGATGACAAAAATGATCAGTTTTAAAGGTTGGGGACAAAAATGCAAAAATAAACAATATATTTATACTGTCTTCTAAGCGATTCTTGCGCTAACATAATTAAGTGGTACGTTTTCTAGATTATTTAGCGAAAAATTGAATAAACCAATAGAGAAAACATATGGGATTCTAATGTTAGGTAAGTAACTTGTATGATTTTTTGATAGATTTAACAATAAATTGAATACATCTATGACAACAATTGTCACTCACTTAATGGTTGAATCAAGTATATTAGCCTCCTTTTGGATGACGTGTATAAATTGGTTTATAAATTTAATCAAAGTAATTATTTAATTTCGATCACACGTTTATAGTTATTACTCATTATTTTCCACGCGATTCCTATTTAAAATATGTCAAATCATTAGTGTGTTTTTATTATTGTATTCTCTTCCATTGTCTGTATGTCATTAAAATTGTGCCTATCAGGAATGTAAAGCATTATAAATGAATTTCAATAATGTTGAGCGTAGTTTGATAGCTCTCTCACATAAGGGGTGGTGCCCACGATTTTTAAAATTGCTGGCCCCACCCCCTTTGTGAGAGGGCTATCACCCATGATGTACACCTTCATCTAGCATTTCTCAATGAATTTTACTAGCTCCCCATTTGAAAACCATTATTCGGATTAAAAAAAAAACAATGTTTTGAATAACGATTTTTAAGATAATGTATTTTTATAGGGAAAATTTTGAATTTACGTGCAGAATATTTTATTACGTGAATGCGTTGTTAAAAATAATTATGTAGAAAACAAAGTTTTCAAATAATGGTTGCGGCTGATCACATGGGTTCTGATAAATATGATTAAAAAAAATCCAAAAAGATTGTTTCTTGCTTTTATTTATCCCCTTTAAGAGGTGGGGTTTGAATTGAATTTTCTGGTAATTTCATTCCACCTAAATTTTGATTTCCGTTTTGAGTTAAAATGTCGTTTATCAGTGAATTTTTAGCGAAACTTTCGTTATCACTAAACTTCTATCTCAAGTTGATCATTATTCCACGTCGGTATTTTTTTTATCATCCACGTAAGATTTTTCTCGTAAGTAGAACTGATGGAGACGAACGCATTGCCTTAGCCATTTTCTTGTTTCATGGAGACAGGTAGATCTACTGAGCCGCTTGCACTGCCCATACATAGCGCAACTTCTAGGCTACTGTGCAGATCAAAACCACCGACTATTAGTTTTCGAGTACATGCCAAATGGTTCTCTTCAGAAGCATCTCCATCCTGGCAAGAATCAATCCAAAACGAGACCATTGAATTGGAGAATTCGATTGAGAATAGCCCTGGATTGCGCTAGGGCTCTTGAATACTTGCACGAACAGACCACCCCATCAGTCATTCACCGCAACTTTAAATGCAG